GACTATTGACTTCAGCCCTAAATATCTAGAATCCGCCCTCTCTGCAGTCGTTGCCCTGCAGCGAGCCACAGCATCCCATGGAGGACTAGACTTGTTAGCTTCCCAAGGGGGTCTTCATGTAGATAAGAGTCCTGTAAGTTCTTACACATTTATTCTCTGCACAGAAGTCAGAATGACTCTTCACAAAGCGTAAACATCACATCATCCCTCTCCTTCAAATTCCTCAAAGGCTTCCTCTTACGCTTGGGGAAAGCGCACATCTCTCGCATCGTCCTGAGCCTGTGCGGATGGTTCTCCGCTCCTGCTCACTTTCTTCCAGCCTTTCCTCCCTTCGGAGCGCCGAGTTCTTTGTCCCTTCAGAGCCTCATGAGCTGGTTCTTCTGCGTGGAATGCACCTCCTTGCATTGAGCTCTGTTTGTGTTCCTTCTTCAGAGAGGCCCACTGTAAAAAGGACACCTCCCGCCGATACTCTGGATTTCTGTTCTTGTCCTTCATAGGACTCTCCACAGTTTTGAAGTTTCGTGCTGTATTTGTTTAATGTCTTTCACCGCACACTGTAGTTTATTTCCATGAGGGGAGAGGCTGTTGTATGGGTGGTATTTTAACCGTGTACTTTGTACATATTATGTATTTAGAAAATATATCATGAATGAGAAAATGCCTCATGCCACCAGAGTGAACTGCAGGTTGGGAACCGTTTCATGGGGCTCATGGAGGGATGGCTTGTTTCCTCTGGGTCGGTCCTTTATTTCTCCAGCACGTTCTCTGTGAAAGGCACCACGTAGTCATCATGCTGTAGATGGTTTTTGATGATTAGCCGGTCTGACCGCTGCTACGCTGAATTGGCAGCATGGGTCAACTTTATTTAGGCCCCCGCAGAGGAATGCACCTGCCCGCATTTCTTAGATTGGAGCTCTTAAAAATGAGAGGCGGGGAGTTCCCAGTGGCCATCGTGGCTAAGCAACTTGTCTTCTTTGCTAGAACTCCAATTTTACAAAAACACTAGAAAGGAAAGGTGGTCTCATTGCATTTGCTGGCCTCTGAGATTGACAGCATTATTGGTGTAAAGGTTATGTTTTCGGGCAGCCAGTGGTAGGTAGTGAAGGCAGCTGAATCCCCCACAACTGACTTGGGTCGGTGGAGTCCTGGACCTAGTGGCTTCAAAATCATGCCAGGTGTATGTGTATGCCCCCAATCTTGAGAAGAATGGAGGAGGAAGGATTGCAGCATGGCCATGACCTCTGATGGGGTGCTTTCTTACTTTCCCTTCCTCCTCGTTCTGTCTCTCTGGCAAGCATACATGCCATATAGCAAAAACTTAAAAAAAAAGAAAAATGATGACTAGCTGTCTTAGTCATATAAACATTCCATAATGCTGCCGTACTAAATATATGTCTTTGAATCAGAACAGGGCCAAAAATGACCATATGTCATAACACTAACGTACTCATTCATGTCCTAAGACGTATAGGTCTACTATGACTTGATATTGCAAGATAGTCTGCATTTCTTTACCTTGTATTTGCTTTCTTCACCTCAGATGTAGTTTTTAATTAAGTTATTTAAAAAAAAACTGATTTCAGTAAGATGAAATGCTTTTAATTATGTGTGCAGTAGAAAAAGTATAAGTGCAATAATTTGAAACAGCTTTCAGGCTGCCACCATTTTTTAAAACCTGTGGGAAAAGTGCCCATTTACTACCAATTTTAAACCAATTAACTTTCATTTCAGTAGGAAATGTCTTGGAGATTTATCATATTTCTTTTTTTTTTTTTTTTTTTGAGAGAGAGAGAGATTTTTTTTCTATAGGGCTAATGTGCTCACTAGAGTGACAGAGAGACAGAAAGCAAGAACCACCCCTTCTGCCCCCTGTTGGGGGAGTGGCCACACCGCAGTCCCTTCTCCACTCCCCTCTTGGGATTTTGGGCATGCACGCACATGCACCCAGCATGAGTTTTAAGCCACTGGTTTCGGAACTCAAACTGTGGTTGACTATGCAGGAGGCCAGTGATGTAACCATTATGCCATCTGCTGGTCCCTGTTTATCATATTCTGTAATGTAAGCAAGGTATTCTTTTTCAGTTCAGATACCATACTTAGAAGCTTTCTGTTAATATAAACATCCTGAATATTTGCATACATATTGGCAGGTTCAGGACCCTGGAGGAAAATGGGGTCAAAAGGAAGAATAAACATTTTGAATACTTAGAGAAGTCCAAATTTCTAACTGTAGTATTATTTATTCTACCTTTAGCAAAATTGTTATTCTCTCTGAGTAAAATCATTTTTAAAGCTTCATTTATTTATTGATATTTGCGGATTTACCAGAGATTCATAACTATTCTCAGGTCAATAAAATTGGCAGCTCATAGGAGTTTATAAATGTTTGCTGCTGGGTATAACTAAATAAGTTTATGAATTTCATAATCCCCTGGTTGCTACTGTGGGCTCTTTGAGTTTTTGTGATAAAATGTTGATCACAGGGTTGGCAGGTGGCATGGTAGTTAAGGTGCTAGACTCCCACATGCCCAACTGTGGTTTGAATCCTGGGCCCGGCAGCTTGCTTTTTTACTCTCTCCATCCCTCCCACCCCATCTCTCTAGTCAAATTAAAGAATAACAATAATAATGAATAGAGTTAATGATTCTAAGAAAATGTCTACCAGTGACTCTGGAGCAAGTGAAAAATATGAAGAAAATTGAAGTTCTTTCCGTGATACTATAGTAATACAAAAAATATGGGGGACCAGCAGTTAGCGTAATGGCTGTGTCGCTGGACTCCCATGTAGTCGACCGCAGTTCGAGTCCTGGACCCGGTGGCTTAAAACTCACACTGGGCGCGTGTGCATGCGTGCCCAAGATCCCGAGAGGAGAATGGAGGAGAAGGGATTGCGGTGTAGCCATCCCCCCTGGGGGGTGATTTCTCACTTTCTGTCTCTCTGTCTCTGTCTGTCTGGCGAGCGCACGCGCCCTATAGAAAAACCTCTCCAAAAAAACAACAATAGCAAAAAATATATGATACATTTTATTCATTATAGAGGGTGTGAAGGAGATTTAAGTAAAGAGAACTGCCACATGTAAAAAGTCCTCTCAAGCTAATTGCCAATTTAAGACCAATATAAATAAATATAATGGGGTGATTTTTTATGTTTATTTCTGAAAAGAGGAAAGAGGAGCTTTATTCTGTGAGAAAGACTGTCGGCTGCTAACCATTTATCTCCTAGCGAACCGTACTACTTGCAAAATTCCAACTGGCAGGTTTCTTCTCTCTGGTGTTTAATTAAAATCTTTCTCTAGCAATACATAGTGCTGAAAATAGTGCATAGATCCACTTATTGTACCAAGAAAGAGTCGGGTCAACTGAAGTTTTCGAGCTTTAAGCCGTTCCTCATTATATGTGTTTTGTTATTTAGCAATTTTGTCTAACAGTACCATCACTGGCGAAGAGTAGGTCTATTTTTGCAGGCTTTCTATATGTGTGTCAGCGTTAGTACCATGATATGTCTTTTTTTTTTAATTGCCAGTGGGCATGTGTGCTCACCAGAGAGAGAAGGCACCCCTCCAGCAGGGTGTGGTCATGTCACAGTCCTTTCTCCTCCATTCCTTTTTCCCTTTAGGATTCTGGGCACTCGTACAAATGTACCTGGCATGTTTTTCAAACTGCCAGGGCCAGAATTTGAACCACGCTCAGCCATGCAGGATCCAGCTCCTTTAACTGCTTGGCTACAGTTGTGTGTCTTACTGTAAAGAGTTGAGCATTTTCTTAGGTAGGTAACATCTCACCACACGAGAAAATTCCAGCTTAGTTTTTCAATTAATTACTTGCGGCGGTGGTTGTTAGACAGCTGTCCTGCTCGGCTTCTCACTGGGACCGTAGTCCTACCCTGCCACGCTGCCTGTCTTCTAGTCAGGGTCTCACTGTATTGCCCACAGTGAGAACCTCGAACTCGCGAGCCTCCTGACCCACCTCCCCGTCACTGGACTCCGGGTTCACGCCACCGCACCTGACTGAGTTGGTTCGGGAAGCAAACTGAGGCACCCTACATGGTCCCAGCCCCCAGAGCACTGTCTTGGCCCCACGTGCCACTGTGGCTGGGCAGCGACTCCGTTTTCACTTTGCCTGAAAGTCCGATGGGTCATAAAGCAGTGCTGGTGGGGGACTGGAACTGGTCTCTGCTTCCTGCCCTAGAGTGCTGTCGGTGGGTGAGTATTGTGGGGTGGGGCATGGGTGGAAGACTAGGATGAAGTGGTGTAATTGCATCGTTGTTTTTAAAAACAACAGAAAATTCCTGACCGTTGGGGAAGCGGTGATGATTTTTGGACCAAAAATAAGATACTGTTGGCTAACAGTTGGTCATCACTCAGTAGGCAGCTTGAGTTCAGAGATTTGAAATTCAGAACATTACTTTTCAGATAGCGTAGGTGGACATAAGCTCAGTAGTACGTCATCTTATGAACGAATTTAGAAGCAGTGCGTGTAAGGGCCAGCCAGTGGCGTGGTGGTTCAGGTGACGGGATCCTACACGGCCACCTTGTGTGGTTGGAGTCCTGAATCTGGTGACCTGAAAATCACACCCGGCGTGTACAAGTGTGTGCCCAACATCCTGAGAGAAGAATGGAGGAGAAAGAGTTGTGGCGTGGCCACCTCCTCCAGGGGCATGCTTTCTCACTTTCCCTCTCTCTCAGCATCTCTCTCCAGTGAACATACATGACACATGCACGCTGGCAAATTAAAAAAGAAAAAAAAAAAGGCAGGAAGTATCATGTAATTACCGTTAGAATATTTTTCTCCTACAGATTTACATTGTTAATTAAATTGTTTTTTCAAACTGTGCCCTCTTAGAAACAGAGAAGGCATGTGTTTAACCTGTCTGTATGCAACTCTTAGCTGGGCGGCCTATTTATTGTTGGGCACTTAATAAATATTCATAATAAAACAAGACGGTAGCTGCAGCTCTGAAATAACATTGCCGTAACCCGCAATGGGCG